AGGAGTGGACCACACCTCTGCCCACCACTGTCCTCCAAAGACAGCTTATCTCCAGCTGGGCCTGAGAATGTCCCCATCCAAGATCAGCCACACAGCTCCTGCCCCCAACCACCAGCCCCTAGAGCTCTTCTGTGAGCAGGGGTCCCCAGGACGGGCTGCCTGGAGGAAGGGGTTTACATTTCATTTGTCCAAAGCTGCCTTGTACTTGCCAGGACACGAGCCCAGAGGATGACAGGGGAATGGGTGAGGAAGAGGTAAGTTTTCTAATTTTTGTTTTATTTGTATTTATTTGGGGGGGGAGTTGAGACAGGGAGGGCCTCACTATGTAGTTCAGGCTAGCCTTGAATTCACTTTGTAGCCCAGACTGATCTCAAACTCAAGGTGATCATCCTGCCTCAGCCTCCTGAGTGCTAGAATCACAGGCATGTGCCACTACCCCCAGTGATTTTTCAGTTTTCACAAGGACTTGGTATCAACCGCAGTCCCCCCATGCCCTTACCTCCTCATAGTTGAAGATTCCTAGCTGAAGGCTGATCATCGTTTCCATTGCATCGAAGAGGGTTTTGTAGGAATACAGCTTCCAACCAAATAATAAATTTGACTGCCACAGAGAGAGTCCTCATGAACAGGGAAAGAAAGCCTGAGGCCCCCCGCCCAAGTCCCGCTGCCTGACACTGTGGCCTGTGTCTACCCTGCCTTGGCCTGGCCCACACGGACGTGTGTGTGTGTTCCTGTCTGTGGGCCCGTGCACGCAGACCACGTGTACGCCTGTGTGCGAGGTGTGTGCACTATACACTGGAGTCACCTAGATGACCCCATCCAGGACCTTGCGCCACCATGCCCGGCTTGGCTGGCAGACTTTCCACAAAACCTCCCTTCTGGTGCACAGCCTCAGGCGCTGCACGGAGCCCTGGTTTCTGAAGGAGGGGAACGAAGGCGGAGAAGATAGGGATGGGGGCGGGGTCCAGGTTGAGGAGCTGGAGTGCTCCTGGGGTGGGGGCCGTGTGCAGTGGGGACAGGGCTGAAGGGTCAAAGCTGAGTGGGGCCAGAGCCAGAAGGAAGTCCTGGGCTTAGAGGGTTGGAGTGCATGTTTGGGTGGAGGTCCGGATGTGGCAGGGGTCAGGAGGTGGTCTCTGTTTTTCTCCCTACTTGATAATAAGGAAGAGTTGAATGTTTAATGTTTCAGACACAAAAGAGAACGCGTGTCATATGGTGATGATATGACGGTGATATGATGACGATGATGTAGTGCTGGCTACAATAACTACATCATTGATGAGGTAGTTAAGCACAGCATGAACGGCTTTGGTCCCACCCAGCTGGTGCCTTCTGTCTAGGGTGCCAGTGCTGCTGCAGCCTGGGGATGTCCCCCTACTTCCCATCTCTGCCCTAGCTCCGGGGCTCGGGGGATCCTCCCAGTTTATCCCCCAGCACAGTAGGAGTTGCCGCACCTGTCTGGGAAGTAGCCCTGCGCCCTCTGCCTGGTAGGAGGAGCGGCACCTGAAGCAAGTCCAGGTGTGCACAGGGTCCTCTATCAGGGCAGTTGGGCCCTTTCTGTCCCACAGGCTGTGTCTCCTCCCCCCTGCTTGACTGAGCCCTCTACTGCTTGCGATTTGAGGAGGCCAGTTCATGGGCTCCCCACTAAAGGACCTCAGACTCAGCAGATCTCCATCTCTCCAAAGCTCCCAGAGCCTCTCTAACCCTAACTGTCCACTCCACACCACCAAGTACCCTTGGCTTCCCCAAAGAGAAGCCCTGGGTTTCCCACAGGGACCACTTACTGTGATGGAATAAGCCAGGAGCATGACAAGGATGACGATGAGGAAGCCCGAAATGTCACCCCAGGCGCGGCGCAGGGCTGATGTGATCATGTTCAGTTTGGGGTTCAGCCTGAGCAGATGCCAAAGCTTCACTGTGGATAGGAGGACCAGGAAGGCAATGATGTATCCAAGGGCAGCATCAGCCGCTGCTGTCTCCCTGAAGCTGATCCCGCTGTGGGACCAAATGGGAAGGGTGGATTAGAGGCCATGGTCAGTGCAGCTGGAGCCCATCTGGATGCAAGGTTGGATTTATCACCATCTCAGGGTGCAGGATGAGACTTATCATGACTCAGAGGCCCCTGAGTCACAAAAGAGGTCTGGGAAATAAAGTGGTCCCAGTTGGGTGGTGGTGGTGACAATGATGATTGATGTTGACGATGGTAGTGGTGCTGATGGTGATGAGAGTGATTTTGATGGTGATGATAGTGATGCTGATGTTGATGGTGATAATGATAGTGATGTTGATGGTGATGATGATAGTGATGTTGATGGTGATGATGATAGTGATGTTGATGGTGATATCATGGTGATGATGATAGTGATGTTGATGGTGATGATGATGCTGATGCTGAGGATGGTCGCGGTGGTGAGGATGGTGATGATGATAGGGATTTGATGATTGTGATGATGATCATGATATTGGTGGTAGTGGTGATAATGGTAGTGGTGATAGTGATGGCAGTGAGAATAGTAGCACATTGGTTGATGGTGATGGTGATGACAGTGATGATGAGGATGAGAGACAAGGTTGGGGGATGATGTGGTTGTCATGGTGATATTGATGTTGAGGATGATGGTAGTGGTGATGAAGATGATGGTATGGTCATGAGGACTCAGCACTAGTTAGTGGTTCTTAATTAATGGCTGAGAAGCTCTGGAAGAAGGGCAAAGGAAAATCCTTTCAGGCTTGACAAGTGGAGGAAAAGACTTTTGTACGCTTCCTCTCTCTGCTCTGGGTCACCGGACGCCCTGCTCCCGCACACGAGCCTGAGTGTGTGTCGTGGCGGCCCTATGTTAGACGGAAGGATGGAAGCCTTGCCCATTTGCTAAGGGACAAACTCCTCTCTTTTGTTTCTGTTTGTCACTGTTGTTGTTTTCTGAGACAGGCTCTCATGATGTAGTTCGGGCTGGCCTTGAACTCACTGTGGAGCCCAGGCTGCCCGCCGGCTCCCAGTAATCCTCTTGCCTCAGACTCCCAAGTGCTGGGATTACAGGCGTGCGTCACCCTTCTCAGCTAGCTCATTTGCTTTGTCGCACTTGGACTTTAAGATGAAGTCAGCCTCTTTATCTCCACTTCACAGATGGGGACAGAGAGTCACCACAGGGTCACAGAGCCAATGCCCTGAAGAGCGGGACAACCTGTGGGGAAGAATGAGTTGGAACGCAAGTGTTTCTGACGTCAGAGCCCCGCCCTCTTGCCGGGCGTCACGCCTTGCCCTTCGTTCTCCTCTCAGGGCTTTGCGGGATTTTGTTGTTCGTTGTTTGTCCGTCTGTTTGCTTTGAGACATGTTCTTGCTCTGTTGCTCAGGCTGGCTTCCCCCTTGAGATTCTCCCTCCTCAGCCTCCCAAGCAGCAGGGGCTACAGATGTGTGCCCCTGTGCCCAGATTTTTGTTTTGTTTTAAGTGTGGCTTTCTTTTCTATTGAATCAAGCACTAGCTACCAGTTATAGCTACATTTTTTACCCGCTCCCCCATACTGGGAATTGAACCTAGGGCCTTGCGTATGCTAGGCAAGGGCTCTGCCACTGAGCTGCATCGCTAGCTCCTGCCTTTGCACTTAAATAGTCTTTTTTTTCTCCTTTATGAGACAGGGTTTCGCTATGTAGCTGAGGCTGGCCTTGAACTTACTTTGTAGCCCAGATGGGCCTCAAATTTACAGGATCCTACTGCCTCCGCCTCCCAAGTGCTGGGATTACAGGCAAGCGCCACCATGCCTGGCGTCTTTTTTTTTTTTTTTGTACCAGAAACTGAACTCAGGACCTCACACTTGCCAGGCAGGCACTGTGCCACTGAGCTATATCCCCGGCTAAATACAGTTTTAAAACTGTCATTAAAAATAACAGACCTAGCTGGGTGTGGTGGTGCACGCCTGTAATCCCAGCACTCGGGATGTTGAGGCAGGAGGAGTGTTGCAAGTTCAAGACCAGCCTGAGCTACAAACTGAGCTCAAGGCTAGCTTGAACTGCAGAGCGAGACTCTATCCCAAAAAGACAAAAAGACAAAAAATGACAGACCTATGTCCATTGATATGAAAAAGAAAAAGTTATATGGTCCCAAATTTGCAAAAGCA